GGACAGAGGCGAGGCGGGGCCGGTACCGGAACTTGGCACTGCCCTCCCCTGGCGCCCCGCCTGGCGGCGATGAAGTGACGGCAGCTGAGGCGCCGCGAGACGAGAACGATGGGTGAAATACCCGCCGGGGACCCTGAGACCGGAGTGGGGTGGGGGGCCCCGGGCGCGCTCCTGCCGGCCGGCCCAGTTAGTTGGGCCGCGGTGGAGAAGACGCGGTGACGGCGGGAATGCGCTGGCCGCGCCGCCCTCCTCTGTCCCACCCGTGGAGCCTGGGGCGCAGGCTTCCCCCAAAGCCCCTGGTTCGAGGAGCGCACGCGCGCGAGGCTGGGGTCCCGCGGGCCCCAGCCGGGCCGGGACGGCCAAGTGGGGCAAAAGTTAGCGCTGGAGAAGGCCGTGGCTGCCCGAGAGGCCAGAGGCTCCTCGCGCGCCCTGGGTGACCTCAGGCTTGGTCTGCACCTGCCATAGTGACCCAGAGTGCTGGGGAGACGCGGGCAGCCCCGCCACCCGCTCCGGCCGCGGTGGAGTCAGCAAATGCCGGCAGTGGTTATTACTCTTACAGTCCAGCCTAAAGAAAAGGAAACCGGCCGGGAGGTTTTGGTGACTTGCCCAAGGTCACACACCAGCAAACGGCAGGGCCCAGGCCCAGCCAGCCCCCCTAGGAAGTTCTGCCAGGAAACCCTCCCAAGATGTCCTCGCCCAGTGTCCGGTTCCCTCCCTACCTTTCCCTGGGCCCCGAGGGCCGCCTCTGGGACCCTGCATGGGCCGGGGAAGGGGCTCCGGGTGCTGGCCGCAGGTCTTGAAGCAGGGGCTGGGGCTGCCCCCCAGGTCTGCTGTCAGAGCTGAAACTGGCTGTGCCCTGGGGCCACATCGCTGCCAAAGCCTGGGGCTCCCAGCAGGCGCCCCCGATTCTCTGCCTGCATGGCTGGCTGGACAACGCCAACTCCTTCGACAGACTCATCCCTCTTCTGCCTAAAGGTGGGGCTGGGTGGAGGGGTGAGGGGCTGAGGGAGTGGGGAGCGCTGGGGAGATGGCCAACCTACACCTTCTCCCACCCCGCCCCGGCACAGACTTTTATTACGTGGCCATGGATTTCGGGGGCCACGGGCTCTCGTCCCATTATAGCCCGGGCCTCCCGTATTACCACCAAAACTTCGTGAGTGAGATCCGAAGAGTGGCAGCGGGTGAGTAAGGGGTGTGGGGGGTGCTCAGGACGTCCCCTCATCCTCGGAACAGGAAATGGCACTGCCTTGGGTGGAAGGGTGCTGGCCCCAGGTCTGTGAGCTCATGGAGGTGGCGAGGCCCCCACAGAGGAGCTGGGACCCTCCAAGCCAGTCCCCGAGTGGGCCGCCCCCTGCTGGCCAGCACAGGGGCTCCAGGAAGCGGGGCGGGCCACCCTGAGGCGCCTCCTGTGTTTTCAGCCCTGAAGTGGAGCCGGTTTTCCCTCCTGGGCCACAGTTTCGGTGAGTACCTGTGTGCCAAGACCTGACCGCCCCGCCGCTCCCCTGCACCGCCAGGACCTCAGGGAGCAGTGAGGGGCTCCCGCCAGCCGGGCCCTCTGGCCACTGTCCCCTTGAGCCTCAGGCCACTGTCTGGAGGGCCATAGGCCCTCACACGGCCGCCTGCTCAGGGCTGGTGCAAAGGCCACGTGGCCCAGGGAGGGAGCCCCCCTCCGCTGAGGGCAGCTCTTCCTGGGGAAGGCTGTCAGGGTGAGGGCCGGCAGGGGCGAACTGTGCCAGCCGACTGTCTTTCACCCTCCAGGTGGCGTTGTGGGTGGAATGGTGAGTAGCTGGCTCTGCTGTGGCCACCTCTGGAAACCTTGGGTGGGGGGAGCCGGCGCGGGGCATAGTTCCTCGGGGATGCCTCGAATCCCGAGTTTCAAGCCTCATTTGTCGGCTGGGCCTGCTTGCTGTGCCGGGGTGGTGAGTCCTGACCAGTCAGTGCCGTGGGCCCATGGCCTCTGACGGGGCACCTGGCCCTCCAAGGCTGTCTCCGCAAACTCCCCTGTCCCCAGGAGAGCCCGAGGCCCTCCGCCTCCTCCCTGTCCTGCTCACTCTTCTGTCTCTGTGTCGCATCTCAGTTTTCCTGTATCTTCCCCGAGATGGTGGACAAGCTGATCTTGCTGGACTCGACACCATTTGCCCTGGATTCCAAGGTAAAGGCGGGGAGACCGGGGTTGGGGTGCCCTCTGCCCTATCCCCTTGGTGGGTCCCCTGGAGGCCGGAGGAGGTGCAGGGCAGACCAAGGGATCAGGCCCCAGGCTGATACCCCTGGAGCGGGCAAGGAGAGCTTAGGAATGCCGTGTGTGGCCACAGTCGAGGGTCTGAGTGACTGATGGTGGAGGGGGAGGGAACTGTGGCTGAATCCCTGCGAAGAGGGGGCTGAGGTGGCTGCAGCCCCCCAGTAGACCCTGCCCTGCAGGAAATACCCAACCTCCTGACCTACAAGCGGAAGGCCATAGAACACACACTGCAGCTGGAGGCCACCCAGAAGCCCTCGCGCGTGGTCAGCGCTGCAGAGATGCTGCAGGGGTATGTGCTGGCGGCGAGACTGAGCAGGGGTGTCTGCGGGATCGGGGGTGGGGTGGGGAGGGCCTCGGGGGCCCAGAGGTAGCATTCATCTCAACTCCCCCCAGCCTGCGTTTGCTAGGCGTCAGCTTCCCGGCACTGCTGCCCCAGCTGACACTGCACCAGCTCTCCTCCTTGAGCTGGGCCCTCCCCTCTGGTGACCCGGCCCCCTTTCCCTGCAAGCAGGCCACACACGCCCACAGGCACACACCCCCACCCCAACACCTTTCCTTCCCTCTCTGGGCCTCTCCTCGGCTGGCACTTTGCTAACCCCCCACGCCCCTTCAAGCCCGCAGGCTGCCCTGGCTCCTGCCTGTAGGAGAGTGCCGGCCTGTGGCGACCACAGGGCGCCTCCTGGCGGCGCTCTGGGAGCTGTGCTGTGGCTGTGTGCCCGGCAGCGGCGCTATGAGCAGCTGGCGTCTGAGGAGCGAAGCTGCCCTCCGGGCACTGCACAGCTCGGCCCGTCCTCTGGGTGCCACCCCACCTCCTTTGCCCCAAGGCAGTGAGCATCTCGCTCTCCCCAGGTTCCTGAAGAACAACAGTCACGTGGGGGAGGAAGGCGGGCAGCTCATCCTGCAGAGAGGAACCACACAGGTGGCCACAGGTGAGGGCACTGTCCCAGCCGTCGCATGGACAGACCTGCTCTGGTGACAGCCTGAGGAACGGGTCACCGCTGCCTCCGGCCGGAGAGCGTGACCCAGCTCCGCAGACGCGGCCCCTCATCCTCCTGCGCCCCATCCTTAGGGGGAGCCGCCGGCTCAGGAAGGCCTAGCGACTGTGGCCCTCAGCAGCTTCCAAGCTGGCTGCTGTGCCCCACTGATAAGCTCACTCAGGAAGCCTTCACTAAGGGTCTGCGTGCACCGGCCCCAGCAAGGCCGCAGGGGCTCCAGGAGAGCCTGCCGGGGCCTCCCGGGGCGCAGCTGTGAAGCTGGCCGCAGCGGGTTCGACCCCCACCAGGGTGGTGACCCCACGGCGCGGCAGGCCTCCCCTGTGGCGGACGGCCCACGTGCACCCATGCTGGGCACTGAGAACCGGGCCCGGCTTCTGCCTCTGCCTCTCTCATCTCGCAAGGGGCCGATGGTGAGGTCAGGTCGTGAAGTAGCGCCGAGGCGGGGTGTGGGCCTGGAGGCGTGCTTGGGGCGGCCTGGCCAGGGTTACGGTGAGGGTTTGGGCCCAGCGTGGCCAGTTTCCAGTTCCTCGAGAAGCTGGGGCTGCGCCGTGCTTTCCTTCTGGAAATGAGTGAGTGGGCACCAACGGCTCTTTGGACCTCGGGCCGCCAGGCTGTGGCTGTTGGGGGACGAGGGGCTTGTCTCAGTGATCATCCCCGCAGCTCCCCGCAGACCACGGCGCAGCGCAGCAGAGGGCAGACGGCCACAGACCCACACGTTCCCAACAGCCCGCACACGTGGCCCTTCCAGAAGGCGCAGGCGCAGAAGTGGGCTAATCCGGAGTAAGGCCAGGGAGCAGGTTAGGCCGGGCCAGGCTCACAGGAAGCGGTGATGCAGACACTGAGCTGCCAAGGGGGGCGGTGTTGCTGGAAGTGGGGGTCCCTTAAGCTGGGAGCTTCTGCAGAGTGGGCCATTGGAGCCCCGGGGTTAACCTGTAAGCAGTCCCGTGGGCCTCCGGACCGGTTGAGGCGACCCCTCCCGGTCCCCGCAGAGCAATAGGTGAGAGGCGCAATAGGTGAGAGGCGTGGGAAAGGGTGGGGGAGGGGTCTTGGGACAGCGGGGGCTGGTCACAGTGGGAGGAAGGGGACAAGGGACCGAGGGAGGCAGCTGTGGGGAAGGGTTCCAGCCCCGGGAGCAGCGGTGGGGGCTTGGGGGCGACAGTGACTTGTGTCTGCCTGCCCCGCCCCCCACCAGGGACCCCCGGCCTAGCTTGTTTGGCTCGTGTGGTTCAAGCATTTGGCACAAGGGCCGGGTAGGTTGCTCGTATTTGGCGGAGAAAGATGTTATGTGAAAAGGGAGATTTCCAGTCTCTTGAAAACCGGACGCCGACAGCACATTCTGCGGGCCCATTGGGGAGAGCCGGCCAGACAGACACCCTGCCTGGCTTGCAGCCCCCCGCGAGGCAGGGGGAGAGGGAGCAGGTGGGAGGTTTCCTGGCAAAATGCTGGATCCTAGAGAGCTCCTGCCCCAGCCCAGCAGGCAGTGCCAGGCTGAGCAGCCTGGGCCAGGGCAGATGCTCACCGAGGGGCAGGGGCGCCTGCAGAGGCCTGCCCCGCAGGCGGCGGCCGACCTGGCTGCCAGCTGTGGGAGGGGTTCGCTCCTGAAGCGGACGCGGGGTGGCTTTCGCCTGGGAAGGGGGCACCGCTGGCCTCTGCCTTCCTAGACCCCCTGGCTGAGGTTTGGGGCCCTTGGGCCACCCTGGTCCAGGCTAGGGCTAGGCGAGCTCTTCCTCCGCTTCCTTGCTGCTGTTGGTTGGAGGTTTTTGGGGTCCAGGACAGGCGCCCTCCTGCTGGGGACGCCCACAGTCTCAAAACGCCTTAGTTACCACTGCAAGAGGGCTGTTCCCTGCGGCAGCGAGGGCATCGTCTGGCGGCCGAGGGGCGTCTCCAGCTTCTGGGGGTTCTCAGCCGGCGGGCATGCCCCTTGTTGTGGAGAGGAAGGTCTGGTGTCTGCGAGACGGACAGGCCAGAGAGTGATCGTCTGCCTGGAGACTCCCTGAACGCACGCTAGTGATGAGGCCGGGGGAGCACCGGGGTCCGGGCCCAAAAGGTCCCCCGGCAGCAGGTGGGGTCAGAGGCCAGAGCGGGGGCCACGTGGGGCACACTGAGCAGTGGGGACTCTATCCGGGGTGGTGGGGGGCCAGGGTCAGGGCACCGAGTGAAACCTGGCTGTCTATAGAACAGTCTGGAGGGGGACAAGCAGGGCTGGAGTCAGGAGTTGGTCAGGAGGCCAGAGTCAGTGCAGGGGCCCTAAGCCTGGCCCTGGGCAGCGTCCTGGCCAGAGCAACCCCCACACTGGGCCTCCACCCCCAGACGCGTGGGGTCGGGTGCACCCCACAGTGCAGGGGCCGTCCCTGGGGCCCCTCACCCCAGGTGCCAACTACAATGCCGGTCATGCTGCTCTGCCGGCGGGCTGTGGACCGGAGTCCTTCACCCACTGGGTGTCCCTGGGCGCAGTGAGGCTGCGGCAGCGCGGCGGGGGGGGGGGAGCCCCGTTCCCGAAGACCACGCAGAGCTGACGGCACAGCAGACAGGACACAGGGGCAAGGTGTGGGGGCTGTGGAGGCCCCGCCTGCCTCAACTTGACCCCTGAGGCTCTTCAGGAGGCTCCATCCTTGGGATCCGAACTCCCTCCTTCCCTGCGCCGGGTGGGGCGGGCGCTGAACTCGCAGGCTGAGCCGGAAGAGTGGCCAGGCCGGACTCCATGCCCTTCTAGGCGCTCGGCCTCCAAGTGCCTGATTAAGAGCCTCTATCAACAATTAGTCATCTAAATTTATCTTCTAAAAATTCCATAATCTCTCATTAGAGGGGAAAACCTAACAATTACGGAAAATAGCTTTTCTTAATGTTTCCATAATTGTTTCTCTCTCGGAAAGCCACTCTGTCTGCAAACATCGATTTTCCAGCTGGGTGCCCCAGCCTGCCTCCCCGGGGAGGCCTCCCTGAACCCCCACCCCGTGGCAGGGCTTCAGGGGCTGCGCGGCGATGCAGACTTGGCGGCAGTTTGGTTTTTGACTTGACGCGCTTTGGAACAGGTGCGGACCGAGGCTTCAGAGCCACGCCGACAAAAATAGTGTGCTTGGAGGGCCTCCTCGCCTCCCCCACCGGGAAGTCCCTGGAGGCCTCATCCTTCCAGCGTTTCCTTAGGTGAATGTGAACGCCCACGCGGGCGAGGCCCCTGGCCGTGGACTTGCCGTCGGGGCTGCAGCGGTCACGGCTTTGTGCAGACAGGCGAGTTCCCCCCTGCCTAGGCCAGTGTGCCCAGTCCGGCCGAGGGCCGCACGTCAGCCTTGGCTGTGACCAGCAGGGCTGCGGGCTGCTAGGAAGGCGCTGGGGGCCGCAGGCCTGGCCTGGCCACCCTGCCCCTGGGTGCCTGCTGCTGGGTCAGCAGAGGAGCCTCGTTTGCATTCTCGTCACCGGGGGCTGGGTCTCCCTCACTCGCACCCGGCCCTTGCTGCACAGCTGGGGTGCTGTCTCCTCAGTGTCCGGGCTGAGCCGGGTCCTTTCCTGTGACCGCTGGTCTTTGACTTCGCCGCAGAGGTTTCCTTGTGCGGGTTTTTAAACGCCCTTGGCCAGCTGTCCTTCGGCTTCCCCGCTGTGGTGCTTGAGTCCGGCCTGCGCTTGAGGTCGCGATGCCGCGGGCGATGCCGTGTGCCCGGTTTGGCTGTTTTCCCAGATGGCTGCACGGCTGCCGGCAGCTGTTATTAGTCTGCATTGGCTTCCCTGGGAGGGGCTGCCAGTCACCCCTGAAACGCCATGGTGCAGGGTCCATCTGCCCACCGCTGTCCACGCAGCACCTGCCAGCTCCCACGGTTGTCCACTGACCCCTCTGCGGTGTGGTGAGAGTCGCAGGGTGGAGCAAGGTGGCGCGGGGCTTGCTCAGGGCCTGGGAAGCCAAAGCCCACCAGGGCGTCCAGGTCACGAGGAGCGGGGGGCAGAAAGCTCAGGGCGGTGGGGCGCCAGTCAGTAGAATAAGCGCACAAGTCACTGAATGGGAGGTCTTGACGGCAACAGCGACGTCATTTTCTTGGTCGTAAACCGTCAATAAACCATTTCTACGTGGCGCGAGGACTCCACAGGGCAGACTCCCATTGGGGCCCCTTTCCATCTTCCCACGCGTCTCCCCATCTCCCCCCGCCCGACCCCTCGTTCCATTGGCTCCGGATGGACACCCTTGCAGCCTGGTGCCTATCCCTCCTGGGTGGGCAGGGGTGTCTCCTTGGGGTGGCAGGGGGAAAAGGGGTGAGGCTGGCCCGCAGCTGGGACCCCCACTAGCCAGCCTTTTTTGGGTCTCATTTCTTTTGACAAGTGAAGGCAAGAATCTCCGCTTTTGGGCCTTTCCGGTTGGGTAAAGCCCTGACTGACCATTTTAAGGTCCTCGGAGACCAGAACCAGGGCCCCAAGGTGGTGGCCATCCGTGGGCATATTCTGCTCTGACAACCCCCCAGAGATGTCAGGCTCGGGCGGTGTGCTCTGACTGGAAGGCCGAGGGGAGTGGGGGAGCCCCTCGCTCACCCTGAGGCCCTCTTTGTGCTGTTGCAGGTCTGGCGCTGAACAGAGACCGCAGGATTGCCTTGGTGAGTCTCCCGGCTGCCACCTCCTCCGCCTGGACTGTGGTAACCTGTAGTGTGATTCTGATGCCTTTTTAAAAAAAAAAAAAAAAAAAAAGATTTATTTTATGCATACAGAACTGGGGTACAGGCCAGAGGTGCAGGGGTGGCAGGAGGCTTCACCAGAGACAGAGTGGGAAGAACAGGCAGGTGGACTGAGATACACTGCTGAGGGGAGCAGTGGGCAGGCCAGGAGAGGTCTGCCGCGCCCTGTGGTCACCTCCGGGGCAGGCGGGGATCAAGCTCATGCCGAAATGGCTAGCTTCGTAGTGCTGCGCTCTAACCCGCTGCGCCCCCGGGGAGGGCCCTCCGACGACGCTTGAAGCCTTCACACAAGTATACATCAGGGGCCTTGAGGACAGAGGCCCTGCTGGGCGGCCGCCAGGACCTAGCACTTTTCCGTCACTCCCAGGGAAAGCTCCAACCCCGGAATCCGCTCCGGGGACCCCAGATGAGAGGAGGGCGAGCCCTGCCATAAAGGCCTTTTTGTTTTACCGCGTCCCCTGGGTGAACGTCCGGCTCCCCTGTGGCTGAGCGGTCCTCGGTCTGCTTTTGTCATCGACCTGTGGGCTACAGTAGACATGGGTGGACACTCTCCTGTCCAGTCGTTTTTGGTTCTTGTATCTAGGCAGCAGGAGGGGGATTGCTGGGCCACATGTCATCCTGTTGAACCCTGAGAGCCCACCCCACTGCACCACAGGGACCTGCACGGCATTAAGTGGCGAGCCTGGGGGAGTCTTGCCAGCCCCAGCCCCAAGGCCGTGAAGAGCTTCAAGGCTGTGCCCCAGTAGGGAGCCCCAGCCTGGGGAGGTAGCTCCCCCAGTCTCTATCAGCGCCCCCTCCTGTGGGCCTTGGGCAGTGACAAGATCCTTTGAGTTAACTCGGGTAGGAGAGCCCCTCCCTGGGGCGGGAGTGCCCACTGCCTGCCCTCAGCCGGCTGTGAGGTCACACGCTGGGTCCTCAGTCAGTCTCATCACACCTTGTGGGTGGCACAGGAACCTGCTTCTAGAAGAGCAGCGAGGGCGTTTAGCCTAAGGAGCAAGAGGTGGCTTGGGGTTCAGTGCGCTTCTGCGGCCGTGACCTTCTGGCCTGGGTGGAGTTTCCTGGGAGTGGAAGATTCAGGCCGAGGAGGTGGCATGAGGTAGCAGGCTCAGCGCTCTGGGAGCTTCCCAGGGGTGAATCGGGGCGCTCGCCGACGTCCCGCCTGCTCGGCTGCTGGACATGGGGCGTGCTCCATGGCAGCGCAACGTGAGCCTCAGATCACATGATATTTTCAGGCCAAGAAGCCAAGTTAGAAGGCCAGGCAGCAGCAGGTGAAATCAAGGTTAATATTTGGCCTACGGCAGTGTAGCCACGCTGACCATCTCAGCCTGCGGCTGGCCACGTGGGGCATCTGGCGTCTTTTACGCTAACTGCAGTCCAGGTGGCTCAGCTCAGGCTGCTGCTGGAGCAGCCTCCTCCAAGGGCCACACAGACGGTGCGGCCAGGTGCCGTCAGCTCACAGGACACGGTCAGGGTGGCAGCCGGACATCGCGCTGACCTCACTGAGCCTTGAGCAGTGCAGGTCGTGGGCTCTGCTGGCCACAAGTCCAGGGTCCGGCGGCCTGGCCCTCCTGCCCAGCTGCCTGTGGGCCAAGAAAGGGCACGGAGGGGCCCACTCAGTCTGACATCTAGGCCCAGGGCTAGCCCAGGCCCTTCTTTGCATTTGGTCCAGGGAGGAAGAAAATGACCTGGAGGAATGCGTGCCTGCCTGAGTCAAAGGCCGCTGTCCAGGAGGTGCTGTTTGGGGTCCGTCAAGCCCCCATGCCCCCCCCCCCGGAGAGAGCTGGGTCTTGTGCCCATGGCAGGGCCGACAGGTGCTCACAGCGGCTTCATCTCTCCAGCCCGAGCACTGCTTCGACTTCGTCAGCAGGGAGCTGTTTGTGCACGCCATGAAGCAGCTGCAGGCCCGCGTCCTGCTCATCAAGTGAGTGGCCGCGCGGGAGGGCGGCCTGGGGCCAGGGGTTCCCGCCCCCTAACCCCGTGAGACCACGTGGGGAAGGTCCCTGGCCTACCCAGGAGGACCCCACTACAAGGTTTGAGCAGCCGGCACAGCCCCAGGCCGCCTCTCCTCCTAGCCCCAGCACCCGGCTGGGCCCCCCCCCCAGGTGCCCAGGCTGAAAACATCCTTGAGGGGGCCCAGACCCCCTCCTGCTGCACCTGGCTGGCTGTGGCAAGCCCGAGGCAGGAACCGTGGTGGCCTCTGCGGACAGGCCAGTCCAGGCTTCCGCAGACGACAACCAAGGCGTGGCCTCCCACCATGTTCTCGGCCACTGGGAGGGAAGCAGTGGCCCCTCTGCGGGACCGGCCTCGAGAAGCCAGAGCACAACCATGTGGTTCATCCCACTCAGCCCAAATAGGGAAAGGGTGTGGGCAGGCGCGTGGCCAGGACCGGGGGCGCAGACCCAAGCTGGGTTTGGGGTGAGATGCCTAGCTGATGCTGGCCAGTCACACCGCTGAACATACCGAGCCCAGAGCTGCGCTTCGGTTGCAACTTCCGTTACGCAGTTATTAAAGTGTCTGTCAGTGGCACGTGGATTTTAAACGGCGGGGCCGAGGACGCCCCTACTCCTGGGCCCGCCCCCCCCCCCAGGCCCCAGGAGGACTCGGAGGCCCGTGTGGCACCTGTGGGTGGAAGGCACACAGCTGAGACCACGTCCTTGTCGCTCAGATCAAGCCAAGGGTTTTACGACGTGCGCAGAGACAATGACGACGACCGGGAGCCCATGCTCTTCCTGCTCGACACGCTGAAATCTGCCCTGAAGGAGGTAGGTGCTGGGTCTGGGGGCGGCGGCAGCCACCTCACCCCTCTGCCCAGCCCCAGGCCGGGGGCCCCGAGAGCCAGCAGGCCCTGGGATCTAGGGCCACATGCCAGCACAGGCGACACACTGTACTGGCAGAACCTTCCAGTTTATTATCCTCACATGTGTCCTGGCCAAGCCCAACGTGACCAGAAGTGGCCCCAATTTTACAGGGTCCCAAACAGGTGTCCTTGCACCCACCCAACAGGGTGGCGGGCAGGGTGGGTCTCCAGGTTGGAACTTGAGCTGACCATGACCTTTGACTCCATTCCTGGGGGCACTGGCACATTAGGGTCACCTACCCCCGAGGCCTCTGGCCCTGCCTTCAGCAGGAAGCTGTCTGGCCAGCTCAGCAGCGCCTAACTGCCCTGAGGCTCACACCTAGCAGAACCGGCAGCCCGACCCTCCCAGCCCAGCTCCGCTTCAGTTTAGAAAGGCCCGGAAGCCCGGCTTTCCACTCTCCCTCCCGTCGGGCCTGACACCCCAGCGGCTGCAGCTGGGGCCCTGTGAGCAGACCCCTGCACGGGGCGCCGGGTGCAGAGGCCGCTCCTGACCGCGCTCCCTCCTCCAGCGGTTCCAGTTCGTGGAAGTCCCGGGCAACCACTACGTCCACCTGAACCAGCCCCAGCGCGTGGCCAGTATCATCTGCTCCTTCTTACAGGGTGAGGGAGGCGCGACCCAGCCGTAGCCAAGACCTCGTGCCTAGCACCCCGACTCCCTAGCCGGGCCGGACAGGCAGGCAGAATCCAGGGCGGAGACGGGTGCTTGAGTGCCGAGACTAACTTAAGACTGATTCAAGGGGAAACACTGCCGGGATGGGGGGGTGCAGGGGGCGAGTTGTCTGTTTTGGGCGGAATCTGCAGCGCTGGCAGCAGCTGGAAGGCGCCGGGACCCCACGCGCACCTCAGGAGCTTTCGTAAATCAAAAATAAACTGTCCCTGTGTTCGCTGTTTCCGAGGCCGAGTGACACGCTGGAGGGCCTGACCAGCCAAAGCCCCAAACCACAGGTGACTGTGCCCGTCACCCCGGGGACCCTGGCCCGGGCGGCTGCGATCCAGGCGAGCGGGGCGCCCCGCCCCCGTCCACCGCCTCCACGCGGCTCAGTAGGGTCGGAACTTGCGCTGGGCCCGCATCAGCTCGATCCTCTGCTTGTCCTCCTCGAACTTCTTGCGCAGCTGCGCCAGATCTGGGGGTCGGGGGAGGGGCAGGGTTGGCGGCGCCCTACTCGTGGCTGGAGCACCCTGCGGCCTCCCCCACTTCCGCTGCCGGGTGGAGGGCACGTGCCAGCGCACACTCCAGGGGAGCCAGTCAGATGTGGGGGCGCTGGGAGAGGGAGCGGCAGCAACCCAAGCCGGGTACGGGGGCGGGGGTGAGAGCACCCTCCTGGGCCGGGGGGCAGGGGCCTGCGCCCCGCCCCCACGGCATCCCGGTGCCACTGCGCCTCGAGGGGCCGGGGCCTGGGACGCTGGGACTCGACCTGCAGGACCCACTGGGCAGTCAGCGCCTGGGGCAGGACAGGCCTAAGCGCGCTTACGCTCCATCTTGGTCTCGCGGTGCTGCCAGGCGTAGAAGTTGAGCAGCTCCTTGCGGGCACGCTTCCGCTTCTCCCTCTCCAGCACCCGCAGGCTGGCCGCCTCCGTCCGGGGGAGCACGGGCCGCCGGCCCCGCCGCGTCACCTTCACCCAGCCCTCCTCGTCAGGGACCCCCTCCTCCTCCTTGGCCTTCGCCTCCTCCTGCAAGGAATGGCCGTGACGGGCAGGCCCCAGGGTTGGCCGGCAGCCCAGAGCGCCTCACTGCCCCAACCTTGGCTCTGGCACCCAAAGCACCCCAGTGAACTCCGAGCCCACACCTGCTGCTCCCTTCACCCCAAACATAGCGTCGAACCGAGGGCTGCGCAGCAGCGGCGCCCACCCGGCCTCGTCCGCCTCCAACTGGCCGTTCCCCGAAGGCTGTCTGACTAGAGGTTACCAGGCGGGTGGCCCTAGGTCAGCAGGGACATCGCAGCCTGGATGCTCAGGGTGGCGAGGGACAGGCTGCCACCGCCCCCACCACGAGCCCTCTTCCTCACAGCCTCAGGCCAAGTCCCACCTCGGCCACCTTCGCGTCGTAGGCCTGCATGAATGTGTCCACGTCCACCCGCAGAGCCTCGGGGTCTGGCAGCGAGTCCGTGTAGTCGCTGATCCACTCTGAGGGGCAAGGGTGAGGAAACGGGGTTTCCTTGGGCAGCCCTGCAGGGCCCCACTCAGGGCCTGGCAGGCAGCGGGGGCCTTCTCGTGGGCTCACAGGACCCAGGCAACAGCAAGAGAACAGAGCCGTGTGGCTCAGGGCTCGGACGATAAAGAAAATCCTAGCGGGCGAGCTGGGCCCTCACCCGTCCCACCCCAGGGCCAGGCTCAGGCCGCCCCCCGCCAGCCAGGGCCCAGGGCACCGCCCCACCCAGCACTGACTGTGCACACCGCTCTTCACAGGGTGCGTCTCGGTGGAGATCAGCAACGGGCCCTTCAAGGCCAAGGCCGCCACCACCCCGCGCGGCTTCTGGAACACCACGTAGGCTACCTGGAAGCCCTGGACAGGGAGACATGCGGAGTGCTGGGAGCTGCCCGCGCCCCCACCCCAGCCCAAGCACGCTGTCCTCGGCTGGGCCGGTCACTGGACCCTGAGGCCCACCAAGAGGCCGCCCGTCACCAGGGAGGGCAGGCTGGCCCACCCCTGTAGAAGCGCTGTCCCTAGGCAGCAGCGTCCCCCGCGCCCACCCCCCCCCAGCTCCGGGAGGGCGCAGAGAGCTGCTTAGGCGGGCCAGGAGCGAACAGAGGCTCACGGACGGGTCCCCATGGGAAGGACAGTGGCCCACCGGCCCGCGGCGTGAGAACGAGCCACGCCCGGTGGAGGACACGCAGCCCCCACATCCCGAGGACGGGCCTGGGCCGGCCGGGCCCCACAGCCACCGCCTGCGCACCCCAGCCTTCGGCAGGCCCAGTCCGGGAGGCTCACCGGAACAGGCTTCGGCTGGAAAAACTTGGATTTGGGCTCCTTTGGGCCCTCAGCCAGGTCCGGCTTCTCCTGGAGCTCCACAGACTGGACAGGGCCGCAAGGGGAGAGGAGGCGGGCCAGGCAGTCCTGCGAGGGAAGCGGGCGCCTCAGACCGCAGAGCCCGCGTCCACCACCTCGATCGCAGCCGGCCCTCTCGGAGGCTGCCGCCGGCAGATCCTCACGCTACCTGGGGGCAAAGCCAGGCCCGGGGAGACGGCAGGCCCGCCCGGGGCTGGCCCACGGCCCGCCAGTGGCCGTCACGGGGAGCTCCGCCCCGCCAAGGGAAGGCCCCGGGGCCCAGCCGGGAGGGCGCCGGCACGTGGTGCAGAGCCCGGCCTCTGGTGCCACCGTGCTCGCGGGTCTCTCGCACGCGAGACAGAAGCGACGCTTCCTTTCCAGACAAACGCGTCTCTGACCCGGCAATTCCCTCGGTGCGCTTCTGTACAGCTACCTGACGCTGAGCTGAACGACGGCTTGGGGACAGTGTGCCGGACACGGGTGGCAGACCTAGACGAGACTGACCTTCGTCCCCTTCCCCCATTCCTCACTGCGGACACCTGCCACTTTGGGAACCGGGCAGGCAGCGAGCCGTTCTGGGCGACGATGGAAAGCCCCACGGGGCTCGGCGTCACTCCTGGCGCTGCTTTAAAAGGCCGATTCCCAGGCCTCCCGCGGCCAACAGGTGAGGGCGCGGCAAGCTGGCGGCCGCCTCAGTGCCAGCTCAGTCGCGGCCCCGGAGGGCCCCAGGGCGCCGCAGACCCCTCGGGTCTCCCGGCTGCTCCCCGCAGCGGTGGAGCTGGTGTTCTGCTGTCCCCTTACCTCTGTGCAGTACGGGGGCACGTTGAGGACGAACAGGGTCCTCTTCGGAGGCCGGGAGGACCTGGCGCCTTCGCGCACTCGGTGCTCCCTGGCGTAGAGGTAATGAGAGGCCCGCTGCTTGCCGGAGAACTTGATGGGAATGGCTGGAAGGGGCGTGGGAGAGTGGGCATGGGCGCGGCTGTGCGCTCCCCCCACGCCGTCCTGGCTTCCCCCCTCCAGGCCCCGTCCCGCCATCACTGAGCTCCTGGCCAGGCCAGCGGGGTGACAGGGGAGGGAGGCGGCCGCCCACTGCGC